TTTTTTTTTTTTTTTTGTTTTTTCTCTTACGTTTTAGAGTTTTTCAAACTACCCCAATAGCACCTAGAAAAATTCTTCGATCACATGACAATTTTGTCAATTATTTTCTAGGATATCACTAAAATATTTTTTTTTAAATAAAACTTGAAGATATAAATTTATATATATTTTAATTATATATTATTCATAATTTTACATGCTCTACGAATTTACTTAGGGTAATCTTTGACTTTCTATATATACTTTTTTCAAAATAATGAATTTTGCAAAAATGGCATTTAAAACTCTCTTTGGTATTTTAAGTAAACTTAAAAATACATATATTTTGCAAATTTTAGGACCATATAAAGCATGTGTTAAGTTTTATTTGAAATATAAAAAAATATTTTTTTATTGCCAAAATTAATCAGCATTTCTGTGCTGTGGGGTAGTTAGTAGTTTTTCGCCGATATCTCAAGATCTATTTATCTAGAAACCTGCAAATACTACCATTCAACGCGTCTCATCAGGATGAATTCAACGAGCTGCATTTCACAATTTTCAGATCATGGGATGGCGAGATAATGCGCTTTAAATCTTTTTTTAAAAACTGCCCAGATTTTTGATATCCCACTGTAATTTATTACCCTTATTATCTCGTATAGCTTGATATACAAGCGTACTCGGAATAATGTTATCTGTATTTTCTGATAATACAAAGCTTTCAATACGACCTAGTATTTTGTTAGGACCCAGAAATATATATATAAGGGTCAGGTGGCGAAAAATTTTTTTACTATGAGCTGTACGCAGGGAGTAGTACGCGACACCTGATATTGAAAATCCTGCAAAAATACGCAAATAAAATTTCAGAAATTAAGTTATAAATTATTTTATCATGACTTCTATATTATTTATAAAACCAAATATTAATGTGAAAAAATAGAATTTATTCTAATTTACCATTTTTTCAATAATATTTTTCTAAAATTTCACTTTTAACCCTTAGAAATTTTAATTAATACTAAATATATATTACAATGCGGTTAACATACAGTAAATATATTATATATATAAGATTAGCCCAAAAATATGCAAACTAATTTTTTGCATATAAATATTTTGATAAAAAATACGCAATATTGATGACCTAACTATGGATGAAAAATTCTTAAATTGTACGCAAATCAAAACTTTACTCCGTCTAATTCCACTATGATGGCGACGCATCTGTGTACCCTACTCCTGTATGTATATTTCTGGGTCCTATTTCGTTTATTACGAAAGACCTACATGAAGTTCAGATGAAAATGTCTAAAAGAGAACTGACGTTAATGACGCGTAAATTTTGTGGGTCGCTCGTTCACGTGATGAAAATACGCTGATTGGCTAGATTGGCTAAGCAGACTAAGCAATTCTTCAATTTCATGTGATGACCGACTAAAAATTTTCAGTTATGTTAAATACCTAAATTTTTGACTAAAATAACATTCGCAACATAATCGGAATATTTTCAGTGCAGTCAAATTGTGCCTGTAAAGATTTGCGTTATTATATAATACAAATTTATGTCCGTCCACCATTAATTGAGAAAAGTTCATTCATTTTTTTTTAAAAAAATGTGCAAACTTAATAATAAAACAAATATAGATATGATATGCCTTTTAATAAATTATATGCTCTTTTTCTAATACGAATACAATATCATAGTTAAGAAAATAAAAATGATATTTGAAGTAAAAAAACTAAAATAACATTAAATGATGCGTAATAATAAGTATAATAATTAAAAGTGAATGAGCGGTTTTCTTTGGTTGTTCCTGCGAGTAAATCTGCGCTTCTGAGGTGTACTAGTTGATCCCATTGGAGGATTTTCGTTTACCGTGTAACTAATCATAAAAATCGAAAAAGATATTAGTAAAAAAAAATAAAAATTACACCTGAAAAAAAACTACAAAAGAAAATATATACCCTAAAGTTTTCAAAACCAATCTCAATTCTGGTCCAATACCTCCTCCAGGATTATCTCCAGTATCTTGAATAAGAGTTTTAAGTGATACCCCTTGTCTCAGGGATGGTATCATTAAAAAATCAGGTGTATCTTCATAAGCACCTTGGTCAAAATGACTAATACTGGTTCCAGCTGCAAATTCTTCGGTAGTATGAAGTAAAACTGGTTCTTGTTCATCAGGAAGTATAAAATGTAATGATAATTCAGTTGTAGCATATTCTAACATAAGTTCGGCATTATTTTCTTGGTCTGATGCAGTAAATGCATCGAATAAAGCATCCACGGTAGGGAATTCGGTACCCTTTGGAGTAAATCCATTTAAATCCTGAGCGATTTCAGTGATTCGTCTCTCATCATCAGGATCATCAACATTTATATAGATTAGATTTTTATCAAATACGCTTTCGTAAAAGCCTTCAAATGTTACAGGTTCCTTAATTTTACCAATTTCAACACCATTAAGCCTTGGTGTTAGATATGTATCGATATCTGGGGGAAATCTCCATGTTGTTGTAATTCCAAGTCCATGCATCATTTCGTGCAGAGATGTCGCCAAAACATCATACTGATCTGGTTGAATGTCCCCACCATCACTTGGAAACCAAAAATTAATTACAGAATTAATGGACATTATAATATCTGCTGCGTCTCCAAAATCAATACCAGTATTTAATTGTTTTAATAATGCTGTAGGGTATAATCGTTCAACTTGATCTCCTGGGCTAACAAATTTCATTAGATTTGTTTCGGTTTCAGCTATTATTAAGAGACGTTAGCAAAAAATAATAAAAAAATAAAAAAAAATCTGATTACAATTATTAGTTCATTATTAATTCTGCTTACCAAAATCGTCTGGATCCAAAGGTTCATAAGTAACATCCACTAAAATTTTAGTATTTAGTACTAAATTGGAAGCAATAATTATTCCAACATTTGCAAATTCACGTTCCAATTTATCACATATTTCTTCATGTTCACAATGCAGAACAAACGTAAATATGTCTTGTGAAAATACTGTGGGGAAGAGAAGTATCAAAAAAACAGGGAAGAGAAGAGAAAAGTATTTCATTTTTTAGTCAATTACTATTATATATGTAATAATGAAAAAAATGATATTTATAAAATTTACGTTCTATTTATATTATTTTATTTCATTGCGGATAGAAAACCAAATTTTTTAAGACAATTATTTAATATAATTAGTACGAAACCATTTATAAACGACAATAATATTAGCTGTGTAATATTAAGAAAAACTAAACTGATATAATGATAGAGCAACACAAGCTGCATATCTTATCGGTTTATTTTATAAGATTATAAGATTTAATAAAAAATTTCGGAAATGAATAAAATTTCGGACATTGGGAATCAGGATCGTCCCCCAATCAGATTGTAATCTGATAATTTATTTTATCAAATAATTTGTGTGGGGTATTGTTGCTCAGTGATTGATTCTAGTGTGATTTACTCCCATATTGTCCAGATCCTCTGAAAATCAAACCAAAACAAAAAGAGTATACATAATATTAGTATAGTATGATTTTGTAAGTTAGTATGTTTTGAGGTAGTAATAGTAAAAAATTTCGGGAATCAGGATCGTCCCTCTGAAAATCACACACCGAAACAAAAAGAAATTCAATTTTCTGAATTATGTCAGAATTCGCTCGGAAAAATGTCCGGAATTTTTGATCAAATTTTTTGAACGTCAAAAATAGAAAGAAATCTGATTACAATAAGAAATTTAGAGGACTTTGTATTTCCAAAGATGGAAAATGTGACGGTATCAAGAAATCTCGTTATGTAAATGGTTTAATTAATAATTTTAAGACCATATTAGGAAATTACCGCGAAGAAAATTTATGTGATGGAATAAATACGCTTTTTAACAAATTTAGTGTTGAAAATTCGAATGTCTTCATATATACCTATTTTCATAAAAACGTAAATGGACCAGTCATTTTCATAAAAATTGACAGAACCAGTTTATTTGAATTTAAGAATTGGTGTTCATTGATAACTTGTAATTTAAAAGTCCATAAGCATCTGCTATGCAATTTGTGTAAAATTCAATATTAAAATAAAAGAAGCCACTTTCATCGTGCGATAACGATGTATTTATCCTTTTATGGAATAGAAAGATTTATCTTTTCTAAAAGTTCTACAGCAATTCTTTTTTTTTTTTTATTCGTACCACACTATTAAATTGGTATTTTTTTTTAACGTAATGTTATTTTTTTTCTTTTTTCTCTTGCAAAATTTAGTTTTAAAGAATACATTACATATAACATTTTATAATGGACATTATAAAATTCACGAACATAGTCCAAGTGTACTTTTTTCAAGTTTCTGTACCTTACTTGTAAAATATAATAATGAAAGTAAAAGAAAGCTTAAATAGGTAAATGTAATTTTTTTATTATCTCAAATTTTTATATGATGATTTTGTTAGACGGTACCGAAGCCCCGCCCTAGAGGTGTTGCAAGTTCTTGTTTGAGGTGTTTCGTTTTTCATATGATGATTTAGTGATGCTATCAAAGTCCCTAGAGGATTTGCATCTCCTTTCTTGAAGGTGTTTCATAATTTGGTGATTTTTGATGGAGCCCTTGGAAACTTTGCAATTCTTGCTTGAGATGATTCAATGATTCATATTATGATCGTGATGGTAATGAATCACCTAGAAGTTTTGAATTTTTTGCTCGAGGTGCTATAATTCGTTATTTTATATAGAATTATATTTATTATCTGATTAAGAATACAATTAACAATTAAAAATTTATATTGAAAGAATTTTAGTATGTTTTCAAATTTTTTTTATATAGGAAGAGAGATCTTCTGTTAAAGAGTATTTTGATATTATTGAGTTGATTAAGCAGGACTACAAGCATGTGCACGTCTTATCTACTATTATAACATAAGAAATTCGTAAATTTGGATGGTTTGAATTAGATATTACTAGTGAAATTAAGTATAGAGAAGCAATTATTGAAACTGTGATTTCCACTGCCCTATAAAAAAAGAAAATTCGGAATTTGTCCTGAAAAGTATGGAAAATGTCCGGAAATTTTCCGTGCGTCCGGAAAACATTCGGAAATGGTCATGTTTTGGAACATTTTCCGGACGCTCGATTCTAGACAAATTCCGAACAAATTCTGGAGTGTCAAGAAAATGTCTGGAATTTGTGCGTCCGGAAAGTGTTCCAAAACGTAACCGTTTCCAAATGTTTTCCGGACGCACGGAAAATTTCCGGACATTTTCCATACTTTTCAGGACAAATTCCAAATTTTCTTTTTTTATAGGGCTGTCGGTAAAAGTATTTAGATATTGATGAGCAAGCTCCTCTTTTATCTGGAGTTTTTGATGTTGAGCATATTCAAACCAATCACTTAAAGATAAAGGGAATTTTCCATTCAATGACAATAAAATTAGAAAATGGATTAATAATTAGAAGAAAAGAACTTTATCAATAAAGGATCAGTTAAACTATTAATTGAGGAATCTGTGAATATATGGAGGAATCAATACTATCAAATAAGGTCTCAGCTCAAAGTTATTCATCAATAGAACGAGGTGTTTTAAAATATGTTGATGTAGTTGGAAGTGTCGAAAATAATGATCATTTGTTTGAACTATATATCGAAGATGATAATTGTAAATTAACCAAGTTAGGATAGAAACAATGGATAAACTCCTGATGACTATGTAATTTTGTTCATCTGAGTATCTGTATACTTATATAATGGATCGTAAATTTCGACCTGCTATTAGAAAAATTTCTATTGACAAGATCCATATTCCTTTTTATATGAATTTTACAGATATTTTGGTGGAGTTATTAAAAGTTATGGAAATTTCGTTACATTTTAGATATTCTTTACAGAAAATTTATGGACGCATACAATAAATGTATAATTAAGATGATGCTATTTTTTGACCCTAACGCTAATAACTATAAATAAAATAAATCGTATAATTTATTAATAATTTTTTTTTAATCTCGATAAGAAAATAAGTAAAATCGGTATCGAACTAAAAGATTACAGATTGAAAAAATATCGAACTAGGAGATTATAGTTCCGTGCGATACTAGTTCGTCTGATCTCGCTAAAAATTTATGATGCTGATGCAAAAATCAACTAAGTTGGTTTCATTTATTTCATCTAATTATTTTTTTCACTCTTTTTTTGTTAAATAATGGTATCAATACATTTGATTGATTACTGCCATAATCACCATTAACTAATGTATCAATAAATCCAAGTCTGCTATCTCCATATTTCTTTGTACCATACATCAATTTTATTTTTTGCTGAATATTCCATTGAATCACGTGACTTTTTTCTGGAATTTGCACTTGACTGCAGCTTGTGAAAAGATACAAATAAAAAATTTGTCGCGTAAAGAAAAATTTTCTATCATGATTTTAAGCAATTCAAAAACTATTATACTGTAGATCGTGTAGAGGATTTTGTTTTGAACAGCTCTTTCGAAATTCTTAATCCCACATCGGTAACCTTTGTTTAAGGATATTGGAGATGGACTTTAAAAAAAGAAACAGTTATTAAAGAAATTAGTAGCAATGGAAAAGTTATAGGATAATGATAGAAAACTACTGCTTTATGAATATTAAGGAAGATTGACCATTATTCTTTGTCTAACGTTACTACGTGCATTTGATGATGTTTTTGAAGATTTGAATATTGAGAAGGACCGCGCTGGTTATTTGAAATCAGAGGGTGACGTCTTTCTTGATAATTCTGCGCTTAAAGATATAATTATGATGAGAAGACCACACTATAAGTTTTTCTGAAAACACGATTTATTAAAATAATACCGAAAATAGTTCAATGTATTTATAACGTATACTTTTTTGCTTGTAGTTTAATGATGGATATAAAGCTATTTATTCACTTCGAGCGCTTGGCGCTCTTCATGAAGTATGTTAATCGTTTATCTGGTTTTGGCAATATTTTAAAAAATTACTAAAAATCGTTATATACATTTATAGAATGAATGCTTTTGAGAACAAGTTCAAAATGAGATTGATAAGAACATCAAGTCAATGAAGCTAAGGTAAGCCTTATGGTAAGTTCAATTACTTTATATGTTTCTTTTATAATGACGTCGTTACTTATTTTTATCAGAATCCAATAACAGATGAAGATACAGCAGAGTTGAATTTTGCACTTGCGGAGAATCTTAATACAATCGATATAAATACCGTTACTTGGGAAAATCCGTTGTCGTCTTAAATAATTGATGATAAGTCCAATATATTTAAAATGTTATCTTAAAAAGATAAAAAGCTTTTTTTGTATGTAGAGTTTATATTTTTCGATCTTTCATATTAATCTGCTTAATAATGTACATATTCAGAGTCACGCGGAAACATAAAACCGGAATTTTTTCCAATGATCTATGTCAACAATTAAAAGCATCCGACGATTATAATGCTCTTGATGAAGATGACAATGTTTATTGACACAACAAGAATTGGATAGAGTCTGAATCAAACTTGTTGGAAGTAGCCAAAGGAATTGTTCATACATTGTAAGTATTGTAAGCAATGTTTTTGTCAATACTTGATCTTTATTAAACAGTTTTTATATAGGAAAAATATTTGGAAAAATCCAATATATAGGAATTCTTAATGAGAATATGATTTGAATCAAATTCGTATAGCCATTGTTGATCTGATAATTAAATTATGTTAAACACAATCAAAAAGTCAATAGTGGTTTAATAATGGTTATCTAACCGATGTTGTGATACCGTTGATCCGTGCAGCAATTAAGGATATTCCAAATTTTAATTATATGCGGGTAACGACGTAAGATATTGTCTTCGCCTTATTACCTTCGCCTCATTGTTATTATTTAACTTCAAAATTTACAATCTTAATTAGTTCTGAAATGGAGAGCAAAAATAGTAAAGAGAGATGGAAATTACAGAAATGTAGTTCATTTGGTAAAAAACCTGACGCAATGATTATTGCCACAATTTGCAATATTGAGTTTGAAATTATGTTTTTGGAGGGATCGCGTCTTGTCGCAGATAAAGGAAAGCGTCATTCGGATAGCGTTAAACTTTGGCGCGGAAGCAATGATGGCATATGGCTTGCTAGTCGTAGGTGCAAGCTAAAATAGGATTTCGTAATAACAAACATTCAAGTATTTCGTTAAGTATCAATAAGTGTATAATAGTTCGATTTTAATTTTTTAATAACATTTGTAAATTTAATTTCAGCAGAAGACGAATCTATTTAAACATACATTGATACGTGATGTCAATGAAATCAGTCGGTACCACCACTTTGATAAAGCCAAATTGCCACTTACGAATTCAGGAAGCATTTTCGATTATCAATTTATTACTTAAACTTCGAGTATGTATTTTCAATAATTTTAAATTAAACAAATAATGAAATAAACCCAATTAATTAATATTTCATCTATTATAGATTATCATTATTGTTGATATTGGCCTATTTAAATCTGCTGTGAAGTCTAAATTTAATCGTAATAATAGGAAAAATGTGAAGAGTTCAACAACTAGTTCTCCGGGTAATAAAAAATTAAAATCTGTTTAATATACTGTAAAAACAAATACTGTAAAACAATTAATGAGCAATTTATTTATTACCATTTTAGAAAATTGATCTATCCATTTAATCTCATACTGTAATTAACATTGTTCATAAACTTCTTAATATTATCACTTTTTTTCATGTTAAAATAAAAGATATCATTAGAAATTATAAAATAAGATGAAATAAACATATAAAATAAAAATTTGTTTCTGATACAGTAAATCCAATCGGTTAAATTTTATTTTCTTTATCAAATAATACGATATTGGTGATTTATAATGAAATGAACATTGTTAACTTCCTTATTTGAAAAAGTCTGTTCATTTGCACAATAATTTGCTTTACTTTAGCGGATTTTGAGAATAATTTCTTATACCAGACTTATATTCTATCATTTTTCTTTTTTCTGTATATTTCATCATCCAAGTTAGACCAAGTATAAATCAAAGTATTCCTTTAATTAAAATTTAGTTCCAATCGAACATATCGTAATTAATTGGATTGGTTTCTCTTTGTAAATTCAAAAATATACCGGTTAAACTCAGTAATATATTTTGAATTGAATGCTATTAACATAGCATTAATACATAATTATGACGAATTTAATCATTTTATTATGGCTGACGTGTCTGGATCGATATAATTTTCGATAACTTTCAGTGCTGGTATTGCTGTATGAATTTGATGAATGAATCGAACAAAGTCCGCTTTAAAACGTTTTATCAAATGCAGTTTCAGTTCCATGGATGATGATGCTGTTTTCAATATACTGTGAACATCCAAGAATGCATGCTAGATCTATTATACTACCCTCAAAAATTATATGCCCGTCCAAGCATTCGCACCTCTGAAATCTGACACAAGTTATGCCGATCACGGTGACAGATAACGGGTGACAAATAAATTTTTGGCACGAAAAAAATTCTAAGTCCCTCAGATACTTAGTGTTTTTGAACTCGTGGCTGCACGTGATAAGGTGACGCGTAAACATCACTCCTTCCTATCTCCTTCCTATTATAGTATTGATCGACAATAACTATCAAGCATTCTAAAAATGACGTCATATACAGTAAAAATTTGTTTTACAGGGAGAAATTTTAAGATCTTTTTGTTATCGTCTTAACTCCGAGGGTTTATACTTTATAGGGTTATTTAATTTTAGAATATTTTTATATTTGTATTTAGGTTAATTTTGACTTAAATCTGAATTCAAAAAGTTATTATGCTGAAAATGCATAAGTAATCAACATAAAGTTATTGTCTGAAAATCAATTTATAAAAATTTTAACATATCCACATCCATTTTTTTCAAATTTCAATTGATTTTCTACGCAAAATTTCAATAATGAACAAGTTTAATCCTCATAATTTTGTTTTTGATAATTAAAACCATTCTTTAATTACAATTGTAATTTCTTTGATGCAAATTAAGATCCCGACTAGAGTTTGACATCGGTCCCGCAGTTCTTGACATCGATCCTGCTGGATGAGAGTACGAAATTGATCCTGTTGATTTTTTGTTTCGATGTCGATTCTAGGATAAGTGAGATTGATATCGATCCTCGTTATTGTGAATTAGTAACCGATCCCATTAATTCGTTTGTCCGACATCGATCCTATACTTTGTGATTTCGATGACGAACATGATGATTTGCTTGTTTCGAATCAAGCCTAGTGGTTAATGATTTTTATCCTGTTAATTGTGAGTTAGTAGCCGACTCATTTAATTGTTTGTTTCGACATCGATTTTGTACATTGCGAGTTCGATAACAGTCCTAGAGTTTGTTTTTAACTGGGTCAATTGACAACTATCTTTCATTAATCTTAACGTTAAAACATATGAACAACATCATCATTGAAGAAATCATTATTTGAGAGGTATGATTCAAAAAATTTATCATTACAGGAAAAGATTATCAATAAGCTTACATTATTACATTATACTTCTATATTTTTCTTATTATCATCACCATCATCACCATGAACATTATCACCGCTCATCAATATCATCAAGACTACCACCAAAGATATCTTTAACTGTACCTTTTATATCTATTGCTACAGCCACCATGACCATTACTCCATTCCCGAATTTCTGATATTGGATTTTTTTGTATTGTCATATTGCGAAGTATTTTTATAAAATTGTATAAATATTTTAATATTTTAATCATAACTGATAATTATTTCAAAAATCTAATATATCTTGTTATATGAGTTATAAGTTACATGAAACTACAATACTGGCTTACCTATTATTCAAGAATTGTTAAATATAGGAATACTAATATGTAATATATTACACCTGATAAATTTAGTATGTAATTATTTTTAATTATCTTAATTATCTTGAAATCAACTGCTGATAATTGTATTTTCTTGTATTGTGAACTTTGGATGTGTAACTGTATTATCTAAAACTAATAAAAGGAGTTTGAGATAATGAACCTTTTAAATTAATGAAGATAACTCATTGTTTTTTTCGATTTAGATGGTACGACCTATTCACATAAAAGATGTCACCATGTGAGCTAATAAAAAAAGGTTTGTTTGCTATGACCGAAGTCACCGAACGTAATCAACAAATAATCAACAATCTGATGATTTACTTTAAAAGGATACATGAACCTAAACGAAAATGTCCTTTAACACCCCTGCGTGAGGAATATGCGCTATCTATGAGCTCCGACGATGGTGAAACTTTACCTTCATTGAAAAGAATTAATTATCACTCAACTCCTGTAAGAAATTGAGATCGTTACCATACTTTTTTATGACAACTACAGACCTTATATTAATGCATCATTCTATACATGACAATATTTACGTATAGTAGCTAATTATAGTTAAAAAAAAAATATATGAATGATTTGGTTTGAATTCTTTTTTTTGGTTTATCTTTTGTTCACCTGTTTTCATTGATTCCTATGTAGGCTTGGTCGGAGTCCTAGATAGTTTTTTTCTTTACTAGTAAAGGTCCGCTTCATTGGACTTTTGTTCTTTGTGGTGGGCGAAGTTCTATAATGGTTTTCAATTTTATTCATTAGAATAGTAGAATAGTTTATGATTTTCATTGTATTTCTCCTTACTATCCATAAAATAAATAAAAGTACTATTCTTTCTCTTTTTCTATTCTGTACAATGCAGGCAATGCCTAGTGTTTATTTATAAATAATATGCAGTGCGATCTTTGCGTAGGTTGGGTTTATACTTGTAGCAGTCACTTTCGCAAGGAATCAGCTCCCAGGCTTGTATGGTTAAATAAAATAAAATAAAAAATCTTACGTTTATACTACTGAGTATAAACCGAGTTTAAAAAATTATCGTTATGATCACCTATATATAATTATTCTATGGAAGATGCCCGATCAACGTAATCTGAACCGCAATATCTAGAAAAATCTGATCCATTTTACTGTACATTCATCAAAATATGATGAAGGCGATTTTAATTATGATAAAAATCTTTTCCTATTAATTAGGATGATAGAAGAGCCACCTAAGCTTATAGAGAATATTGTTGTCCAACTTCTATCTTACAATTGGTAAGAAACTTCAAATGAACCAGATTTAGTGCTCCTACCGGGTCAAGTCGGGTCGGGTTTTGAGGAAATATTCGACCCGATCTGAATAAAAAAATATAAGACTCGTATTTATTCGGGTCTCATATTTTTGTAACCCGACCCTTGACTCGACCGAGTATAATTTAACTCGTGTAACCCGGGTTAGACCCGAACATTTAAGTAAAACGGGTACTAACTTATATTATGTGAGATTTTTTTCTAATAATAACAAAATTAATTTCCTTTTATTTGAAAAAAAGGCAACTTAGTGATTAACCACTAGTAGCCACCTGAAATTTGTATCATGAATGGTTATGCAAAACATGTAACACTAGCTCTTATTTTTCTCCTAGACTAATTAACTAAAATAAAATTAAAAATACGAATTTTGAACCTGGTTTAATATAATAAAAGTCAAAGAATTAGGCAAAATAATTTAGCAGATATTCAAATCAAAGATAAATTGGAATTCTAAAGCTATCAGAAAAATATTATTCTCAAAAGCCAAAGGTTAATTTTTTATTTTTCTGATTAAGCTATGTTAATATTAATTTTGTTAAAACTAATTCTTGGCTTAATTTTGGCCAAAATTATAATTTTGCCAGAATTAAAAACATCCGGGTCGATCTGGGTCAAACCCGGGTCAAACCCGGGTCAAGGAAATTTATAACCCGACCCGGCGGGTCGGGTCATGCGGGTCACGGGTCATTAAAAATCGTTAGTACTGACCCGATTTAAAAGTCGAGTCGGGTCAAATTAACCCGGGTCGACTCGTATCATTCGGAGCACTAACCAGATTTTGTACTTATGCCATGTTCACGCACCTTCTTCTTCTACACCTTCTGATGATGATATTCTACATAAGGCTGTTAAGCCTAACAAGCAACCGAAACTCACCCAACCAGATATATCTCAAGTTTTGAAGTATCCATATACGCCAAATCCGTACTCGTAATATTGTTTTGAAAAATTAAACACAACTAAATAGTCTACTTTATGTAAAACATTCCACACCTGAAAGTATTTACATATGACACTGGAGTGCAAAACTATATGTAGTATCATATAAAAATTAGCTAAATTTACTATTGATGATAGTTTGATTTGTAATATAATAGATAACTAATTCATATCCCAGCATTTTTTTTGAAATTAATGTTACATTGATTTTTACTTAAGTTTTTCATTTGTAAATATCATTTATATTGTTTTGATCTTGTATGTTTTTCTCTAGATGTTTCTAGAAAATTGTATTCCAATCCAAATAAAAGAAGAAATAGTGTGTTATTAACAAAAAAAAAAAATTTTTTTCAACAGTTCTCACTATTTTAGTATTTCGCAATTTCGCCTTGAAATGTATATTATTATTTTTTATTGTAGTTTATTCTATTCTATTTATTTTTATTGTTGTAAAAATAAAGGTGGGGTTTTATATATTAAATATAAAATATAATGAAAAAATTTTTTGCAGCCTTAATAGTATAAAGTAAACTATCAAGTTTATCACATATTATGGTGTATCATGATGAACGGATGATACAATTATGTAAAAGCAGTTGTCTAAATAATGAAAAAATTAGTTGATTCTGCATTAGAAATAATTGCAGTTTCATAGGAAATTTAGTAACGTGAACCTATAGAAATCAAATGGTCTAGATAAAAAGAGTTAACAAAGAGTATAGTAGTATTAACATATACTGTTGTATGGAATTAAGAGATATAGACGAAGTTTGCATAAGATTTATCTGGAATCATCATAGAACAAGTATATAACAAAGGATTAGGAGTAGGGATCAGACCATGAGTTCGTGACCGATATCCGATATCGGTAGGTCAAAAGACTTCAGACCGACCATTTGACCAACCATTTGGCTGTGCATTTATTGTAACTTATTTTTATAAAATTTTAAGCAGTAATTATCTGGTCAGATTAATTAATATAATCGGTCAAAATGGTCGGTCAAATGGTCAGTCACCGACCATGAACAACCATTGCCATCCCTAATTAGGAGGTACTTGTTGATGATAGAATAGATAGATTGAACAAATTGTAAAGTATAAATTTAGTAACAAATACACCTTTATATTTTGAAAGACAAGAATACAAATAGAGAAGAGAAATGAACAGCAATTAATAGATTCAGACAACTGGAACTTTTTATGACAAGGAAATACATTTAATAACAATTACAATTTAGATAAATATAAAACAAATAATGGTAGTATAAATAAATAGCAGCTATAATTCGTGAAGAAACAGAAATGTCCTTTGGAGACAATAATAAAAGTAAAATAAAAAATCAATGATATCATCAAAATCATGTCACGTGTAATTTAGAATCAAATCAAGATATCAATAATCAATTAAGGAAGAGGAGATACAGTAATATAAAAGGAGAAAAATAAAAATAAAACATAATTAGAAGATAGAAAAACAAATAAAAATTATATAAAATACAAAAAAAAGATATTAGAACATTATTATAAATATAAGAAAAGACGTTATATGGTAGATTTGGGTTATCAAACATTGACAAAACTGAGACTATAGAGCGTCAAAGCAAAGAAAATGTGGGAATATTCTTTTGACGTTCAAAAAGAAATAGATAATGAAGTTAATAGTAATTATGCTACATGATAAAGAAGTTAAATCTGGACCAATAATAATATATTGAAAAATATGTTAAGAAAGACATTAAGAGAATCAGAAAACTTTCAGCAACCATTAAAAACAGCTATCACGGAAGAACATTGTGTGAAAAATACAAATAATATCATATGAGTGAAGTCTGAGAAGGTAATGAAAATGATAGTAAAGTTGATAAATTGATATGATCAAATGGGAAGACGAGAAATGGTTAAATGGACCCAATTTCTAAGAAAAAGAATGAGAAGGTGTTAAGGTAATATAGGATTAACAAGACTTATAAAAAAGACCTTCTCAAAATACTTCTTATAATAGGAAGCAATAAATGCAAGAAAAGAATAGTTTACCTTATATAAAGATAGAAATATATTATAGAAAAAAAAAGCTTTATAGCAATTAGCAAGTACGAGGTTAAATGACAAATGACCCTAATTTTGTGATAAAATATCTCACGTGATATTATAATTTTTAATTCTGATGAAGTTGGCCTGACATTCAAAGGTCATTCAAGGTATTGAATGTCCTGGTCATTTGTCACTACTTCAAAAAATTAAAGTAGCAATCATATACTTTATTGGGATAATCTATACCAGACACGCAGTAAATGATCAACATAAATTGATGTGCAACAATATCATCGGAACAAAAACTCCGAAAGTGAGTATAAATTGACCTCTTTTGGCATTATTTAAAAAATTATTGTAAATCCCTCCCCCCCTCTTCTTTTTCTCTTACACTATGGCATGTACGAAAATATTTTCGGGAGATTTACCCGAAATAACAAATGAAATTATGCGATATTTTCGAGATGACTTTTCTACATTATATTCATGTATTCTAGTTAATAGATTATGGTGTCGGTTGGCAATTCCATTATTATGGGAAGATCCATTTTCATTGAAAAATCCCAAAAATTATCGTTATATTGAAGTTTACTTATATAATTTAAATGATGATGATAAAATACAATTAAATGGATATGGAATTAGTAATAATTTATTTCCTTCAAATACTTTATTTAATTATTCCAGTTTTATTCAACACTTAGATACTCGTAAAATCAGTAATTCTATAGAAAAGTGGGTTTCAACTATTTTTATTAATAATACTACACAAAATTTAGATTTTATAAAATTTATCCATAAGTTATTGATCAAAATATTCGATGAAAATGAAGCAACTTTACATACTCTTTATGTTACATATAAAGGTTCTTACCGTGATGCTATCGTTTCTGAATTAGTTTTAAGAAGTTCAAATTTCATTTGTAATGTTAGGAACCTTTATCTTAAAATCAACAAATGTAATGCAACTGATATAAACCCATTTTTAAATTTTTTAAGTTCTAATTGTAATTCGATTTCATCACTTGATTTCTTATTTTCACGTTGTTATCAAAAATTTGAAAAAAAATTATGTAATATAATTGATTCACAACAAAATCTCAAAAAAATTTCATTGAATTTTAATAGCCTTCCTTTATATCATTCATTATTATCATCAAAGAATCCTAATTTTACAAATACTTTAAGAACAATTATATTTTATCATATTAATTTTGAAAATATAGTTGTCTCAAATGAGATATTTAAACAATTAAGTGTTTTAGAATCTATTCATATTCTTTATTGTTATTCTCTAGATTCTTTTCAACAAATTACTAATTTAACTGATCCATTTAAATTAAAATCTTTATTTATGGCAGAATCTTTTACTGAATCATTACAATTATTATTACAAAAATCTGGTGATTACTTAGAAAATTTTGGATTGGAATTATTAAGACAAGAACAAAAGATATTGGAATTAATCATAAAATATTATAGTAAGAAAATCAAATTCTTAAATTTTTGCGAACTTGAAGATCAGAATATTTATAAAATATTCCAATTAATAGAAAAAGTTGAACTAAGTCTTAATTATCTCACTATCGATACTAATTGTAATGTTAATCTTGGTTCAATTGTATTGCAACATTTAGGGCAAATTCTTCCCTCTAAATTAGAATATTTAAATTTGATTCTTATAATTAAACCAAATGATTTTAAAACTTTTTTGAAAAATTTACAAAATACTTTTATTAAGAAATTATTAATTAATAATATCGAAAAAGAAGAGCAAGAAGATATTTTATCTTATATAAAGGAATATATTATGAAAAAGAAAAGAAGTGAATATTTAGCTTTATTAGAATGTTTTACCGTACAAAGTTACTACACTGAAGTTGATTTATATTCTTTAAAAGATGAAGTTAAAGAATTTAGATTACATAATATCATAGTTCAAAATTATAATGATTTAGATATTGAAACTCATAAATTTATACATGAAATGTATTAATCTATACAGTGACTTATTATTACTTATAATGCTAAATAAAGGTTTCTTATTCTAGTTACTTTATGACTAATAAATTTTGAGTTTTACCAGTAATATCCAGGATGAACTTAATCATACTTTTTCATTAGAATTCAATAAAATATAGCTCAAAAATTATGCCTTTCTACCTTTATCATTATATTCGAATTTATCATTTATTTATCAATCAAATTTTTTTTTTTAGAAACTAATTAGTATAAATAAGAATATTATGCTTGGGAAACTTTGAAGTTATCTAATAGCAACGTTTTTATGAAATTCGCAAAAAAAAAAAAAGTTTTTTTTTTAATCAAATTATTATAAAAAAAAAAGGTTAACAACGTTTTTAATTAAATCATCTATCAAAAAAAAAAAAAAAGTTGCATACCATTTTTTTGTCTTTTTAAGGCGAGTTTTTCTTTTTCTCTTAAACATTGTATGTCGGGTCAACGGGTTGAGTCGGGTACCTGGATGACACGAGTCATGAATTTGATGACCCGACCCAAATATTTCGGGTCAACCTGTCAGGTCACCTGATCCGTCGGGTCTAAGTGTAACATTTATTATTGTTATCTATAGGTAAATATCTCTAAATTTGAGTTTTCCAGTGGATATAAATCGTTAATGTTACACTGTCGATCATTTTGCAGTTCCTATATGTACTATTTAAAAATTATAACATATGGGCCGATTTTTTGGAAGGCTAATCAATCAACGCACCTGACACACCTCATTTTGCCCATAGACCGGTTTAGGCCTTTCCTTTTTTGGTATAAAGATATATGTAGATTACCGACTAAATATATGCCGCACCTGCTACCCTGGGTTGATTGATTAGAATTCCAAAAATTGGCCGATATTCATCCGTTATATAAATTCCCTAAACCTTTAACTTATTATGCATGAGAATCTCAAACGTTTTGCATATCCTATATATATATACTATTTAAATCCGTTATGTCATATACCTCACTAATTAATACGTAAACTTTAGTGGCTTGAGCAACAGATTCAGTTGTCTCATCCAGTTGTTCTAGTTAATTACGGAAAATAAAAGAGGAGGCTTTATAAGAGAATTTTTTTAGTAAAATAATGGAAATATTTTTTATAGTAAATTTATTGCCTTAAAACAAAAAAGTTAAACCCTTAAAATATAAATTTTCACTATTAAATAACTGCATAGAACTTGTAAGTCATTAATTATTATTTAATTATTTATTTACTAAAGTTTTTATAAGCTAAACTGAATATTTTATGTTATTTATATAATAATAAGGTTATGTAATTTAAATATCCATAAATGTGGATGGGCGTATTGGATCATGATGATATTATAGTTGTTAAAATAGCATCATTTTCTCTTCTATATTTTTCATAATTTCTCATTATGCTATGGTTAATGAGAATTGGCACATTTTATTTTTACTGGTGGTTAGTCTGTAAAATTTTTTATTTATTTTAAATGTAAATTGATGAAAAATAAAGTTTTCTTTTTTTCGTCCGCGTAATTCCTTATATCACGTGAGATCGGCAATTTGCAATTTATTGGTTGATCAATGTTGATTATCACATGAAATTGAACCATGTTGTAACTGGGACCCTAAAGAAATTTTTTTTTTTTTTTTTTATTATTTAACAACTTTATTAAGTATTATAACAATTATTGCGAAGCAATTTGTCATAACTTAGACGACATGCATCTGCTAATAAAGTATCTACCCTAAATAAAAACAAGCAAACAAAAAAAACAATAAAAATAAAACTAAACAAACTACCAATTACCCACAGCATAGCTATTTATAATTTTAATTTAACATTTTTAATTAAAATCAATGCTAATACTTACCATCACTAACAGTAGATACTTCACTAACCAAATTACCCCTCTTTCTTATTCTTTTTCTTCGATTTCTCACCTTTTTTACCTTTCCCTCCTTGAGCAGATTTTTCTTTTTTCACCACTGTTACAGCAGTTTTTTCTGATCCACTCTCCCTATCAGTCTCATCACTTCTAACCATCCCCCTACTCAATTCCTCCTTGCTACATCGCTTATGACCAATTATTTCTTCTCCTGAAATCTCTTCCTTTTTAATCCCAGGTAAACACGATGAACAAGCCTGATTCACCTTATTGTACAGCTCCAAATCCTCTTCGGAAACTGGTACTTCTCCAACTTTTTCCTTCTTCCTGATATCCTTGGTCACATTGAGCACTTCATCCGTAGTCACGTGACCGTTCGTAACCGAACCTTTTTCTAGATAACGAGTCTGCAACGCACCCTTTCTATACCTATTCACCACATCTACTACTTCTTCCTCATCTACACCCTCTATTACCATTGAAGACTTAGAAACTTTCTCTGTGACCACCTTCTCAGCATTAGCTTTTTGTATTTCTTTGAACAAAACTTGCGTTTGTCTATCTTTATTTACACTGCTAGCACTGAAATCAATCATACCTAATTTCAAACCCATCATTTTACACAACTCCCGTCTCTTGCACTTTGATTAACGTTATTTTTTAATCATTTCTTTCTCCTTGATATGTTCTTCAAGTAATTTTCTCTAATATAATTCGTTCCTTCTGCTCAGCCTCTTTAATCTTTTTAATCACATCATGTGACATTTCTTTGTTTCGCTGCTGCGCTGGACCCAGAAATATATATATAGGGGTCAGGTGATGAAAAAAATTTTTTACTATGAGCTGTACGCATTTTTTCAGAGCCGGAATTATGATAATGTCAGTCGATTACTATAATGGGAAATAAAATTCTGACTAGCATTATCAAAAATTATCTAAAAAAGGTAAGATTTTCATGATTTTTTTAGTTCAAAATACGCAAACTCAAACCTGACCCTTTTATATATATTTCTGGGTCCTTGCTGCGCCTCCCGCAGCCAACGTTGAAGGTCCAAAACTTCTCTTGAAAGCCTTTTTGTTTCCTCTCTATAGACTTCATAAGATGTGCTGGCACACTTTATTAATATTATATCTTTTATATTAATTTTTTTGTGCGTAATGTCTTGCCTTATTGACTCTAGAAAAGTTTCTTCCACTCTGTTAATTTCATTGTCTCTCTGCGTCTTTGCTACTAAAAACTTTGAACCTTTGAAGCCAGCACAAAACGACTTGCTACTTTCCTTTAGAAACCTATACCTATATTCTGTAAAATTGTATGCTGACTCCATTTTTGTGATTATTTTTAAGTGTTTATTAATAAACTCTTTCATAAAACGTATTTTTCTCTCCGCTAAATTTTTGGACAGAATCAGAAAGAGTTCTTCCCCTAAAAGAAAAATGATAACGGAAAGGATACGTTTTGTATACATTTTATGTACGTTTCTATAGATTCCGTTTTCTAATTCCGTATATTTAATAAGCAATTCATTTTTGAACATTTTTTAAAAAAACTAATGTATATGAAATGTATACGGAAAAAATTAATCATGTGGAATGTTTTTAAACTTAATATTTTTAGAAGCCAAAAATCTCGTATCATAACACAAGATCACGTGATTGTTTATTGTTTTGTTATGATACGTTTTTTGTTTTTATATAAACCCTTACTTTGATGAGTTTGATCTTCCGATCTTCCTTTCTGTCTTTCCTTTCCTTTCTCTTTTCTCTTGTCTTATTTTTGTTATTTTTTCTAAAATTTTCTTCTTTCTTCATCACCCCCCTTTTAAAAAAAAAATTTTTTTATCGTACCTCACTTTAAAAAAGTTTTTTTTCGTCACTCTCCCTTAAAAAAAAATTTTATGATTTTATTCTTTTATTCCCACTCTTCTTTTTTTTTAAAAAAAATTTTCTTCTTTCTATTTCTATTTCCTCTTTATAAAAAATTTTTTATCTTTCTAACTTTGACGTCCTCCCTTTAAAAAAAAATTTTTTTAACTTTCCTAACTTCGTTACCCCTCTTTTTAAAAAAATATTTTTTTTAATTTATTCTTTATTTATTCCCTTTCCCCCTTTTTTTATTTCATAGGCTAGCAGATTTTTTTTTGTGAGAAGATTCAGTTTTCTTTTTTCTTTTTTGTAGATCAGTTTGGGAGTCCTTTCCTTTTTGTAGTTCAGGATTTTTTTCTTTTTTTAGGTCAGTTTAAATTTTCTTTTTTTTTTTGTAAGTTGGGTTCAGATTCTTTTCTTTTATAGGTTATTACAGTTTTGTTGCTTCGGAGTCTTCTTTTTTTGTAGGTCAGTTTTGGATTTATTTTGTTGTTTTGGTTTCTTTTTCATCAGANAGTCTTCTTTTTTTGTAGGTCAGTTTTGGATTTATTTTGTTGTTTTGGTTTCTTTTTCATCAGACGCTTCATAATTCTTTTCTTTTATGTAGTTCAGACATTCTGGAGTTCTCTTTCTTTTTTTGTAGGAATGCTGACCTTTGGTGACTTGGACGATTGCAGATACTATATGAAGGGTGGGTTTTTGTTTTCAATTAAGTTAGACGTTCTTATGTTTCTTTTTTTGTTTTTTTTAGGTTGTTTGACTCCAAATGAACCTGAACTTATAGATATTTTTGTTGCAATAGGTGGTTTTAATAAGGAGGGAATTTTCATAATGTATTTGTATTTTGTTTATTTTTTATTTTTTATTTAATTTAATAAAGTAAAATTAGATTTATGTAAATACAATTATAGTAAACTGTAATACAAATAGTAAATTCAGTGACTAAATCGTATAAATTTTGTGATAAAATCAGTGATCAAATCATGTAAATTCCATATGAATCCCATGCAAATTCCGTATCCAAACCATATTTTTAGTGATACAGAATTGTGCATTTTTCCGTATCCTATTATGATACGTTATTTCTAAGGAAAAAAATCATATAAAAACTTCATAAAAAACGTATCCAATTTTTTTATAGGGGGATGGAGTAATCATACTTTTTTTCATAAGATTAGTAATATTACCTGCACAATACTATAACTTAGTTTCACTAAATTGCATAGAGACTGCTTGTTCCTACCTAATTTTTGTAAATCTGGCTAATGTTCTGTCCTTTTTTTAAGAAGGGTCAGACATTGGCTTAAATTAAGTGTGAAAATTGATTAATGAAATAAACATTTGTTTTCAATTTTTTACTACTAATTATAACGATAATATATAGTTATTAGTCACATACTTATTTTTTAATGTTACATTTCAACTACCAGTAATAATAAGTTTTTTATACTCTATATTACTTTATTTTATCAGTTATTTAGTACCTTATTAATATTGCTACAATAGTTTTATATCACCTAAGATTATTGAACATTTATCCTAGATTTAACATTACTTACCTGGGATGATAATTGAATTTCTACATGGGATATTACAGATCAATTTTCTAACCTAAAGCCAGTATTATTTTATATTTCTTTAATAAACATCGCCTGGGAGATCATCACCTTTACCAGCATTAGGATGGAATTTTGGGCGGAGCTACATTCATATTCTAATTCTGCCATCCTAATGATCGCCCAGGCGATATTTAGTAATTTTCTTCTTTAATTATTGAGTCTTAAAATACTTTTACAAATATCATCATTCAAGAAGAAAATATTTTTTTTTTTTTTTTTTTATGATATGATTAGTTATATTAGTTACCTGTTATGACACGGTAAGACGAATACCAGTAGTGTAGGGTCGATCACCTGTATGTAACATTGTGTAGAACAGGTGATGAATAGAATTTCGGCCCACTCAAAATCATGTGTTTGGCCGTCGTGTTATTTATCACCTGTGTAAACTGTCACATAGGGACCATACACTACACATCTCCTTGGCCCTACACCACTCATCTCCGTAGCACTCGTTATGATATAATATTTGAAAATGTCATCAAAGTACTCCGGGTGCATTCAAGGTAACTATTTAAAAATCTGAGTAAGATTTTTGATTTATAGGATCGTCAATATCTCATTAATGACATCATGTAGTAAATGATCAGCATAAATTATTGTACTGTACAACTGTACAACAATATAATTAGTATAAAATAACCTACTTATGGCATAATTTCAAACATTTCCCCTTTTCTATTTTTTCTCACAATATTATGGCATGTACAAAAATATTTTCAGGAAATTTTCCTGAAATAACAAATGGAATAATACAATATTTTCGTAATGACTTTTCAACATTACATTCATGTATATTAGTTAATAGATTATGGTGTCGTATGACAATCCCATTATTATGGGAAAATCCATTTTTATTAAAAGAACCTAAAAATCATTATTATATTGGAGTTTATTTATATAATTTGAGTGATGATGATATAAAAAAGAAATTAAAGGAATATGGAATTAATAATGATGATTCATTTCCTTTATTTAATTATTCTAGTTTTATTCAATATTTAGATACTTATGAAATTATTAATTCTATAGAAAATTGGGTTTCAGATGACGAAAAATTCCCACTTTTTGCTGTTTATATTAAATCACTTGGTGATTTTATAAGATATATTTTTAAGTTATTAATTAAAATTTTCAATGAGAATGAAGCAAATTTACATACCCTTGATATTACATATTATAAGTCTTCATACGATGATACTATTTTTTCTGAATTGATTTCAAATTCAAATTTCATTTACAATATTAGAAATTTTTATTTTAAATTTTACACAATTAATATATTTAGTGTTGATGATACACTTAATAATAATAATTTAGTAAACCGATTTTTAAAATTATTAAGTTCTAATTGCGATTCAATATCATCACTCTATTTCCTATCTACACATAATTCTCATCTTATAATTGAAAAAGATTTGTGTCATTTAATTGATTCACAACAAGATCTCAAAAAAATTTCATTGAGCTTTAATAACCTTTCTATATATAATTCAATATTATTATCAAAGATTCCTAATTGTACAGATATTATATTTTCTATGGTTGATTTTAAAAATTTAGTTGTCTCAAATGAGATAATTGAACAATTAAATGTTTTAGAATCTATTCATATTATTTATTGTCGTTCTCTAAATTCTAATTTTTTCCAACAAATTATTAACTTAACTGAACCATTTAAGTTAAAATCTTTATTTATTGATGAAGCACCTTTAACTAAACAACAACTACTATTATTACAAAAATCTGGAAATTACTTAGAAAACTTTGGATTTGAACTAAATGATGTATCATCATTATTAACACAAGAACAAGAATTATTTGAATTACTCATAAAAAATTGTAGCAATATCAAATTCTTAAAATTTTATGGATTTAAAGATCAGAATATTTATAAAATATTCCAGTTAGTTAAAAAAATTGAACTAAATCTTAATTATCTCACTATTGATACTGATAGTAATGCTAATATTAGTACATCAATTATATTACAAAATTTAGGGCAAATCCTTCCTCCTAAATTAGAATATTTAAATTTGATTCTTACAATTACTAATACAAGCGATTTTGAATTTTTTTTGAAAAATTTACAAACCAATTTTATTAAGAAATTATTAATCAAAGATACCAAGAACAAAGAACCAGAAAACCAGAATTTGAATAATTTACCTTATATAAAGGAATATATTATGAAAAAGAAAAGAAGTGAACATTTAGCTTTATTAGAATGTTTTATCACACCAACTCATCACACTGTAGTTGATTTATATTCTTTTAAAGATGAAGTTGAAGAATTTAGTTTATATAATATCATGGTTCTTGATTATATTAATTTGAATATTGAAGCTAATAAATTTATACATGATATGTATTAATTATTACAATAACTTTTATTTAAAAGTTTCTTATTCTAGTTACTGTATACCTAATAAATTTTGAGATTGTTTTGTACTATTATTATTCAATAAAATATAGCTCAAATTTTATGCATTTCTTACTTTATCATCATTATATTCGAATGTATCATTAATTTATTTTTTTTAGCAGCTAATTAGTATAAATAAGAATATTATGTTTGATACTATAATTCAGTTTCACTAAATTATTCCGCTTTTTCCTACCCAATTTTTGAAAATTTGAAATTTCAAGGATGCTATATTTGAAGTTTAGAGTTAAGTATTTGCTTAAGTACTTTGCTAACAACTTCAAATTTTTTAAAAGTATTGTAAAATTAATATTACAGTACATTATATACAAACCATGTTAAGATACTCATTATTGGTCTTGTAGGGCCATTGTACTATAGCTTTATAATATCATAATATAAATTGTTAAAATGTATTTGTACTTTCATTGTAAAAAATTTATTGTACAATTTATTGCTAAAGTGCTATTACAATATATTGAAATTGATTGCCTATTGATAGACTTTAAAACTAATGATAATAAAACAGGTTTAATGTTTTATCTTCGGATCCTTTTGGAATTTACCATTTAATCCAGCCAAGAATCTTCCTACAAAAAAGAGAAAAAGGAAGCATTAATAAAGTTTCCTAATAAAAAAGTTTCAAAAATTCAATCCATTCAAGAACTGAAGTGGAAACCCATCCCTCAAAAAAGAAAAAATAATAATAATAAACATTTTTAACTTGGTTCAAAATTTTATTTTTCCAAAATTTACTTTCAATCTACTTATTTTGCACTTGTACAACATAAAATCCTGAGAGATAATTAAGTCAGAGGAGAAAATAAAAGAAGACGTTACTACAATTAACGTCTTTTCATAGGGGTTCCGAAGTCAGGAATCCTATGATACAAAAGAAAATCAAAAAGAAGTTAATAAATATTATTTTTAATGAAGTTTCAAAATTTTTATTTTTTCTGAAACTCACCTGGGATCTGCCACCGATTTCCTTACAAAAACCAAGTTTCAAATATATTTTTTTTTAAAAACTTATCTGGGATCCCGGTTATAAGTCAGGAACTGATTCGCTATAAAATAGGAAAAGATTAAAATCTGATTTTGATTTTTAAAGTTTTTTTCCCTACAAAAAAGGAAAAGAAAGATTAAAAAATATTTTATTAAAGTTTCAAATTCCTTTCGATTTCCTGAGCTGATTTCCCTACAAAATGGGAGAAGAAACTTTTATAAAAAAGTTTCTGTTCCAAGCGCCTAAACTCATCTAAAAATAAGGAAAAACTGATGCCGATTTCTCACCGAAATGCTACGTGTCCATTCCGTCTAAAAAAAGATGAAAATAAAAATTTAGTAACCATTTTAAGACAGAAATAAAGGATTTAAATAAATAATATACTCACCAAAATCCCACATCCGAAGTGCCATAGAAATTCCTAAAAAGAAATAACAAACAATTAGAAACTATCATTAAAATAAAAAAAAAAATTCAAGAAAAAAAAGGGAGAATCTTACCGGAATTTTGCATCAAAAAAAACTGAAAGAACCACCCAAGAAAAAAAAAACTGGTAGTAACAGTTCGTTAAAAGGCGCAGTAAAGAAAAAAAAATGAAATCATATATTTACCAAAAATTCCAATATCCAGTGAAATCTGAAAGAATTATCTAAAAAAAAAGAAAATGAATTAAAAAAAACACTTGCTAAATTCCTATATCCATATCCAAAGAGACTAGAAAACTTAAATTAAGTATAAAGCAACACCTTAAGCCGCATTTCCAAATAAAGAATCGCCTAAAAAGAATAAAAACAATAAAAACAAAATCATTAGTAAAACATTTCGCCAAAGAAATAAATTAAAAAGAAAAAAATATATTTTTTTTCGGAAGTCCTTACCGAGATAATACGTGACCGTCTAAAAAAAGAGAAAATTGTAAAATTGTAAAACGTTTCACTAAAGAATAAATTAAAAAAAAAATATTTTTTGGAAGCTCTTACCAAAATAATACGCGCTCAAGGACCAAAAAAAGAGGAAATAGAAACAATTAGTAAACCGTTTCGTTACTGTAAATTAAAAGAACAAGAAACTCACCTACAGAATTCAATGTGTCAAAAGCTCTAATTAATTTAACGAAAAAACGTTGCGAAATGTTTTTTCAAAGTAATTATAATTAAAAAAAAACGCTTTCGCAAAGTTTTTTAATCAATTTAACGAAAAAACGTTACGAAACGTTTTTTTTAATATATTATTATAGAAAAAACGTTTACGAAACGTTTTTTCAAAGTAATTTAATTAAAAAAACGTTTTCGCAACGTTTTTATAATTAATTTAACGAAAAAAACGTTACGAAACGTTTTTTAAATCGTTGTCGGACCGATTCCGAATAACATCTTTTTCCGACATGATATTATCCCGACGAGAAATATTCCAAAAGACAAAATCCTGACATGGTATTTTCACGAATTCAATTTGTGAAAATGTAACTTTGGTTGGGGATATAGTTTTTAACAATAATACATTATAAATCGCAAATTTTAAATTTTTAAAATTAAGTTTTATTGATAATAAAATACTGTTTTATGACAAATAACTATACTAATATAAAAAAATCATAACTTGGCGAATGTTTGATCTGTCATGTGAAACATCATTAACCATTTTTGCATAATCTTATTAAAGCTGCGTGATGCATGTCTAATGCTAAAAATTTCGTTACGTCTTCATCTGTTGTTTGCCGTTGTAAAACCTACTTGTTCCAATATTTTTATTTGTTCGGTACTTACATCCTCTGTCGAGACAGTTACTCCCATATTAAAAATTTTAGCTTGTAAATTATAAATAAATTTCATTCTTGATTTTTATTACAACTTAGGATACAAATTTTTATATATTTAACTAGCCAGTATTTTTTTTTGTTTCAGTATTACCAATCAGTTACCGTAGTTCTTATGTAGTCATAAATAAAATTAGTATGTGGGTCATAATTTCTTCCTAATAGGGGATGGGGTGTGTTCAAAGCTTCTCGTATTTCTTTGGTAGATTTCTGTACAGGTAACTGTTAGTTGACAAATAACCATAGAAAAGATCAATAAAAGAACAAACTTACCTTGGCAAATGTGTCAATGTATTCAAGAATCTCTTCGTCGATTTCCGGTATACTTTGTTCTTTATTTTTTTCAACAATTTCGGATAATTCCTCTTCTGAAAACTCATCCTTAATAAAGGTATCCTCAGTATCGATGATAAAAGAGTGAACAAGACTAAATGCAAAAAGCAGTAATTTCTCCTCTGATGCAAAAAACAGCTTAGTATAATGTGACACAACTCTTACTTATGGTATCGGCATTGCATCCCAAGCTTATAAAGCACATCTTCAACAAATCTTTCCGACCTTAATTTTTATTTCCTCGAGCTGTCCAATGCTTCAAATCTAAATCCAACAATAATTAGTCATCATTCGCAACACAACTGAAATGCAAAAATAAAAATAGAATACCTTTGTTTGAAGAGGTTCATATTTTTTAAGCCAAATTCATCCTCATCGCTGTCATGATCATTTGACTTAAAAAACAACAAGATTACAAGAAGCAAACAAAAAAAATATTACTACCTCAATTGAATCGCCCAAATTTTGAGAAATCTCCTATAGCACAAATACAACATTATGGAAAAGGTCGAACAAGCTTTACACCAAACAAGATAAAAAACAAACAGACTTACCGAAGAATGAAATCCATGAGATTGTTCTTCACATGAAGCGAATGGTTTGGAATAGTCACCTTGTTTTTGATAAATTTGGTGTTCAGGCGTTTTTGGCGGTTCATCGTTTGCCTTTTCAGATCGAAGACATTGGTTACTAGACAAAAAACCTACAAGATCTAGATCGATATTGTTTACTGTCAACGGAGTTCTTACCTTTCCAACCATCGATTCCGATGCCTCTCTCAAATCATTCCCTAAATCTGAAAATATATGCATTGGTAATGTAATAAACTTGTAGCACACATTCACTTGTAACATACCGCTAATTATAGCATCATCATCTTCTTGCTTGTTGTAGTTCTCGTCATTTTTACTGCTGGAAGAACTAGATGATATCTCACATTCTTTCGTGCTAGCTTTATTTTTTTTTATTTCTCTGATATCTGCTCTTTGGCTCGTCCAATTTCTTCTTGTATAGTAATACTTTTGATAGTGCGCTAACAATAGACAGTTAAAGAAAATCGTAAACACCATGTATAATGTTACGCTTAGTAAGATCAAAAACAATACATACTCTATGTACCAAATCTGAAATAGCTATCGATTCTAATTCTTTGAGATGCTTATTCCATAACAAAATATTTGCGGAATCGTTATCAGAGTTCTCAGCGAATATATGAAAGAAAAGTTAGACCGAAGTGTTTCATCGTAGATTGGTTAATTGATTGCCTGTTAGCCACACATGTTATAATAGAGCTGCACGGCCCAGACTATAACATGCTTCCCACTTCAAGCAACAACGCGAGTTGCCTTGTGCGAAAATCGCTCAGAACACGACTGCAGGGTCATTAGCAAATAATATCAACGGAGCTACCAACGCATATTATAATGGGACCCAAAAGTCCAGACTATAATAGACTTCCCACTTCAAGCAACAACGCAAGTTGCCTTATGTGAAAAATCACTCAGAACACGACTGCAGGGCATGGTAATGTGCTCCTATTATGAAACATAATGAGAAAAGTACTGACCTCCAAAGCCTTTTTCAAGGCGTTTGCCTTGGAATATTGTCGACTTCTGTCTGACAGTTTCTTAAGAAGGATATTAAGTTCAAGACTCAGGGACCGATGTGCTTCGTCTTTAGTACACCCAGGAGTCTTGTCGATAAAATAAACGTCCCAGTCGCTCACACTTCCCCATGAGTTTAGATCACTACTCCAGTATGCTAGAAAGAGAAAGCAAAGATATTGAAGTTGCTTCTTTGTGATCATAGAAGTTTTTAGCAGAAGCTTACTTGCATGGTGAAGACCCCAGCTTTCCATTTCCTCGACTAAATTTTCCGTTGCAATAATCGTGGGTGTGGACATGGTAAGTTCTTTGTTAGGAAAAAAAATTGTTTTGATCTGATCAGTCAATCGGTCATGTGCCATATTAATATTATGCGCAGTTCTGTCAATCGGCCAATTAAAAAGAAACTTGCGCGCATAGTAACGCTTTATCGTTCAGCCAAATAGGATCATGCAGATTTTCATAGACCGATATTTTTATTAGCCATAGCAATAACAAAATATTGATATAATAAAGTGGAGTAAAAAAATGGCGTAAATGAAAATTCTGTAGGAAAAGTTTAAATTAAGCTTATAAAAATGAAATTTATAGAAAACTTATTTATGATGTTTTTAATTAATGCATGATCAAAAACGTCAGAACGATAACACTTTTATTGGATGTGGGGCTATATCGGTCACAGGGCCCTTCATTGATTGGTGAAAATGGCCACTACGTGGCCCATTTTTATCCAATCATTCGGTCCTGTGACCGATATAGCTACTCCCCCATCCAATAATATGTATTTATCATTTTCTAAAAAAATTTTTCGATACAAATGCTCGAAGTGGGAGAAACTTTATTAATGATTTTTCAGATATATAACATACGCCCGTAATAAATCACGTTGCCACCGCGGTCCATTTCGGTCGATCACCTGATTTTCATTCCTTAAATAATACTGTTTATGTTTATGCGAATACTTATTTTAATACATAATATTTATCCCAAAGTTTCAAATAGTTTATTTTTTAAACATAATTTTTTACTTACTAAGACAATTGTTGCGATTATAGTTTAATAGTTAAAATAGTCTACTAAAACTAAAACTCGTAGTACAATCCGAGTAATAAATCTGATATCAATACAAATTTCAGAATTTACACGAGATCATCATTTAATTGAAGATACAGTATATCGACAAAAACGCATTTTGTTCATAAACAATATATAATCACGTAATCACGTAATAAAAAGTTTCTATTATAATAAATAAATTTTCTTTTCATGATGCGCAAATTATGAAAATCTAAAAATTCTACGTCGGATAATCTATAAAAATCATCCATTAGAGGCCAATATTATAATTCTCATTAATAATCAATTTTAAGTATATACATCTCAAAACAATTATTTACGCCAGTCTGTAAAGTTAATTAATTACTTGTGAAATGTATCATCATATTACAGCTGATTTCATAACGCACAAGACATCTAATCATTTTTTACGTTCATTTTTTTCAAAAATTTTAAAAATAGGTTGTTATTCTTTCTTAAAAAGAAAATACTATTTACAAAAATGTACCCAAATTCTTAAACTTTTATTTAAAAGGTGAAATATCTGAACGTAACTTTGTTCTTAAACTATCTATAGACTTGCCATAAATGTATAAAGGTAAATCCGCGTGAGGCAAAGCATTTCAAATATATATAATAATCATTTATGTATGGTTTACTGCGGTTTTTTTAAATTTGATTGTTATAATGATTAAAATCACGATCCGCAGATTTTCAGATTTTCTGGAACGACCAATTACCCGATCATCCGATTCATCCGTGTTTATCGTATGACAAAGACACAAATTAATAGCTCTAACTTATTTGGGTTAGATTCTCAAATTTGACATATCCAATAAATCTAGTGAAATAAAATCAAAAAGGTAATAGTTTTCAAAAATTTATTCCGAGGGAATTATTATTATTGACATCATTATTAATCTTTCATTTGCATAATAAAATAAAGATTCTTTGGAATGAGTAAGCAATTTTTTTAACACAGAATATTATTGGAGCATTTCATTTAATGATAATTATTTTAGATTTTGTGCACTAAAAATCTTTGAACTGTAAAAGAATTAACTAGTACCTAAATCTATTATTATTGGTGAATATCAAAAAAAAAATTATTATTATTAATTTTTTAGTGGTAAAGCAAAAACTTTATTCATGCATATTAATTATTAATCAAGTCGGTATAAAAGCATAAATGATTTTCCAGGTCAAGTTTAAAATTATATAAAAGCGCTCGGAATTAATGATTCACTCCAAAAAAATTAATTTCTTTTTATTTTTTTTAAAAAAAAAAAAATGTCTTTTCTTCGTGAGCTTGGTAAAACTGGTGTAAAAATTTCAGCAATCGGTTTAGGATGCATGGTATGCTCAATACTTCATGGTTCATAATTACTTATTTATCGTGATTCTAATACAATTTTCTTTTTGATCGGCAGGGTATGAGTGATGCTTATGGTGCAGCTGATGAACAGGAAAATATTAAAGTATTAAATCGAGCAATTGATATAGGAAGCACCTTTTGGGATACAGCCGTTTGTATTTAAACTTTTCTAATAAATTCAAATTTTTAATATTAATTTAAATAACGGAGTATCGCTTTTTTTTAAAAAAAAATGAAAGGATTTATATGGATCCGGAGCCAATGAAATTCTTCTTTCAAAGGTTCTTAAAGAACGTCGTAATGAAGTATTTCTTTGTACAAAGTTTGCATTCTCCCTAGGACCAAATGGTGAAATTAGTATATTAGGTAAACCTGAATATGTTCGTCAAGCTTGCGAAAATTCTTTAAAAAGATTGGGAGTAGATTATATTGATCTTTATTATCAACATCGTGTGGATCCCAATACGTTAGTAAAGAAATTTTTTAATCTTACTAAAAATTGTAATAATAAATTAAAATTAACTTATCCATTTTTTATATTTTACAGACCCATTGAAGACACTGTCGGCGCTTTGGCAGAACTTGTTAAAGAAGGGAAAATTAAATATATTGGTCTTTCTGAATGTTCCGCAGAAACTCTTCGACGTGCTTATAAAGTTCATCCTATTGCCGCAATTCAAGTAATAATATTAATTCTTTTTTTATAAGATCGATATTATTATTTTATATTATTAAACATCATTTTTTTTTTTAAAGATGGAATATAGTCCTTGGGCTCTTGATATTGAAAAAAATGGAGTTCTAGAAGCTTGTCGTGAATTAGGTGTCACTATAGTAGCTTATAGTCCGTTGGGACACGGCTTTTTAACAGTAATTATCCCTTTATTAAAATGATTTATATGCAAAAAAAATAAAAAATTTAACTCCAAATAACCTTTTAGGGAAAATATAAATCTATTGATGATTTTGAACCAAATGATTTTAGAAGAACAATTCCACGTTTTCAAGGTGAAAATTTCAATAAAAATTTGGAAATTGTACATAAATTTAATGAATTTGCGAGTAAGAAAGGAGTAACTGCAGGTCAACTTTGTTTAGCTTGGGTTCTAGCTCAGGTAAATATATACTTATATTATAAAATATTATATTATATAAGTATGATAATAATTATATATATATATATATACTGTATATATATATATTTTATAGGGTGATGACTTTGTTACTATTCCTGGTACAAAAAAAATGAAATATTTGGAAGAAAATTTTGAAGCAGGAAAAATTCATCTTAGTCCTGAAGAAATATCAGAAATTAGAAAAATTATTGATTCTATTGAAATCTTTGGTGGTAGATACAATGAACACCTTTCGAAAGTAAGGAAAAATTATATTTATCTAGTTATATATATTGAACCTATTTTTTAATATTAACAAATTTGTCTAAAAAATAGCTTTTGGATGGTTAAAAAAGTCACTTCGATTAAATAAAGAGTCGTTGATATTTACGTTCACCTTTAAAAGTAAGTAAATAAATATAATAAATTGTTTAAATTTATTTAGCATAAAATAACAGATTTCTCACTTTTGGTTTTAGTTAAGTTATAAATTATAATTTTCCATGATTCATGAAATGGATGTAACAAAAATTGAATGGATACTCCAAATATTTTTTAAATATTAAACTTGAAACTTCATATATTGAATTTAATTATTCCTTTAAATTTTTAAATCAATTACACAAGAAATTCTGGCAACGATGTGACCAAGTCCAAAATATATTAATAAAGATATTCAATAAATATCGTATTTTGTTTTAGCATACATGCAAAGTTTTAATTTCTTAATACTTCTTTCTAAAGCAAGATGAACATTTATTTTCTCAAGATTTTCATCCAACCATTGCAAAGTATAATTATAAAAATTATGTTATTCCTAAGGTACTGTATAACCTAAATAAACAAAGATTACGTGGATTTGCTCATAAGAACTAAATTTTCAATAGGAATTTTATTTTAAAAACGTGAAATTGCCCCTTAATTGTATGTCGTACATGAAGTATATGATCTTTGATATGTTTCTATAAAGACAATCAATTCAAGACGAGTTTTCCATAATTCCATAGATATTTTTAAAAAATAATATTTATTCTAACTAAAGTATCGTATAAAATATATTTATTTACGTAAAAATATTTACAGTATTTCGATTACATCGCAGCTCTTGCCCGATCCAAACCTAAAAGGCAAAAGAACAAAAAAAAATAAAATTAGGAAAAGAAAGTACGGTATCAGTAAAATTATTAAAAAAAAAAAAAAAAAAAAAAAAAAAAAA